TCCAGAGGAGGGCCACAAAAATGATCAGAGGGATGGAACACCTCTCCTATGTGGAAAGGCTGAGAGAGTTGGGGTTGTTCAGCCTAGAGAAGAGGAGGCTTCAGGGAGACCTTATTGCAGCCTATCAGTACTGAAAGGGGGCTTATAAAAAAGATGGCGGCAAACTCTTTAGCAGGGCCTGTTGCGACAGGACAAGGGGGAATGGCTTTAAACTAGCAGAGGGTAGATTCAGACTACATATAAGGAAGAAATTTTTTACGCTGAGGGTGGTGAAACACTGGCACAGGCTTCCCAGAGAGGTGGTAGATGCCCCCTTCCTCGAAACATTCAAGGTCAGGTCGGGCAGGGCTCTGAGTAACCTGATCTAGTTGAAGATGTCCCTGCTCATTGCAGGGGGGGTCAGACTGGATGACCTTTAAAGGTCCTTTCCAACCCAAACTTTTATATGATTCTATGAAAATAAAGCACTGTGGTTGAATATTTTTGCAGATAACAAGGACTTTCACATGAGTTGTTCCATAACTCTTTCATCACCATCACCCATATATTTTTTTTATCTACTGCTTAGATCAGTATAAGCCACAAATCTTAGCAAAGAGAAGTCAATAAAAACAAATACTTCTAAGTCTATAACTCTGTTTATATATTTTTTTAAAATCCAAATTTTTACATTTATTCAGAATATTCAGACCTGATTTATGTTTTGTTGATAGTTTCAGAACATGTCAATGAGGATGTATGTATTTACCTCTAGTCAGCAGATGCATATGGTACCTGTCTGTTCTACTGAATGATAAAAATGTGGGCGATTTTACAAGAAGCAATAATAATATTGCAAACCAGTTGCACCTGGAATCTAGAAAATTTTGTGAGCTGATATACTATACTATCAATAATAGATGACAATCGTAGATGACTCATCATAGATGATAGCAGTGATTCTTGCTGTATGTTTATCTATAAATAGCACTCTAGTAGACTACAACTTACAGTCCTATTATCTTGTAATAAAAGAATAAGAGGAGACAGAGTTAAAGTAAAAGGCAGTAAATTTAAAATCACATTAAAAAGTATTTTTTCCATGTAGTGAAAAATTTAAAACTATAGAAATCTCCGACACAGGTCACAGAACCAAGAATTTAGCAAGGTTAAGACTGGAGTGATAGTAGATATATCTGCAATAAGTGATACTTGCATAGCATCTTTACAGCTCTTTTCTTTAATATTTTCTACTGTTTTTTACTTAAACCAAGTAGCCAAATGTATTATGATTACGTTCAAACAAATGAAAGGATATTAAAAACTACTTCTCCAAACTAAAGGAGATCTGGATGAAGGCTGCTAAGGTGCACACATAAATCTGCCTGCTAATGTTTTACGTTCTCTCCTGGAGCTGTGTTAGTAGCCACTGGATGAGACTGGTAGGAGCGGCTCCTGTGCCCTTCCGCAGCTGTTGCCAGAATCTCTCCCATTACCAGTGTTCATTTTTCTTGCTCTCTTTTTGTCAGATTGGGGCTTTTGGCTTTTAAGGCTTAGCACAAGGTAACTTACACTTGTTGAAGGGTGTCTTCTTCTGTTTATCAAAGGGAAATGGTGTTTTGTGGCTTGCAGGAAATGTGGGGTGCGTGTTCTGTACTACACATCCGTTGTACGGTTCCTTGCAGGGAGCCGATTTCAGTAATTCAGAGGGTTGTCTTCAGTGCATCCCCTTAGTGACCAGAAAGGGTTATCCAACAAGGGGCTGGCTTGCACAGAGAAATGTATTGTAGCCTTACATGCTTATTGTTTGGTTTCTTTTACCCTGATGTCTGCTAAAACAAAGATTAATGGAGATGATAATAAACAAACTGGGTATGCAGTAAAACAGCAATCGATATTGACAGTACTCAGCACTCCACTGCAGATAGAAAATATTAAAAATACTTCTTAGCATAAATGAATGAAAACCTCTTCTTTCATACTCAGTCATGAAATAGCTGAAGTAAGGAAGAAATGTAACAAGAACTTTTCTTAATTTAAGTCAGAAAGATGGGATGAAAGATGTGAGTAATTTGCTAGGGATACATGAGGAGGTTTCACCGTTGTGTGACCATTATTTTGAAGAGTAACACCGTGTAGCACAACAAAGGGTAGTACTGACTTAAAGGTGTTACATTTAAAGAGAATACTAGGACACGTGTGTTGATGTACTACAAAACCAAGCCACAAAAGCTACAGATATCCGTAATCATTGATATAAGTAGATTATAGAGCCATTTGGAGAACCATATGGTGAATGAAATGGAGAACCATTTTCTTGTGTGATCTTTGGTAGCTCTTACATGTCCTTGATAAAAACAGTCACACAGTGAAAATCAATTACTTGTATATCTCTCACCATCTGAGATTCAGTAAGTTATTGGCTTTATCGTACCTCCATTTCCATCCATGAAAAGTGGGTGATAACACTGGTCAACTTTCTAAGGCCATTTGAAATCTGTGGAAGAAAGCTTTAAGGAGGTGTTACTGAGTTATTTTAACTTTGGTTGAATCTGCTATCTTCAAAGTTTAAACCTTGCTTGGGTAATTTTAATAGTGAATGGAAAATAATTGCAGTGCTAATGAAACAATATTATGAGAGATTTATAAAACTTTTAAGGTATTTATTTATTTTATTTAGGGTCAAGTCGTTTTCAGAAATGGAGAGAGGATGGGAACCATCAAATTTACACAATTCCAAGGTAGGTTGCAGAAAAATAATTGCAGTGCTAATGAAACAATATTATGAGAGATTTATAAAACTTTTAAGGAATTTTTATTTTATTTAGGGTCAAGTCGTTTTCAGAAATGGAGAGAGGATGGGAACCATCAAATTCACAATTCCACAAGGTAGGTTGCAAACAATTTAATTTTCATTATAATTATGTATGCTTTTTCAAACTTGTGTATCAGTTGCATTTGTTTCAGGATGTTTTAAATATTTTGAAAAGAAACTGCTTGGAAGATGCAGCAAGGTACTTAGAAAGTTTTGTTACCTGTTTAAAATACTGTGTTTTGAACCCTGCGTGCTCTGAGATATTCCCAGATATTTCCAAGAATCTTTCTAGAAGAAAATCCACATACTTATAGAAACTACTGATCTTAAAACTTTACTGGTCAGCTAAGCATCCAATTCTTAATACAGTTGTTTCTGAAAACTGTATCTGAACAGGAACTTAGAGAGGTTTTTTGCTGTTAAGCTCTTTCAAGTTAGTGTCTGTGCTCTCTGAAGACTCACTTTTGACATTCTGCAACTGCTTGCTAAAAGTTGCTTCAGGAGTCAGTCCCTCAGCGTGCAGAGGACACAAACTGCTGACCCCATCCCTTGGAGGCAACACACTCCATAGTGCAACTCGCCAAGCCTGCTGCCCTCTCTCAGCCTGAGCTGCTCCTGCAGGGGATGGTCTCGGCAGCAGAGACCACGAATGCAGCCACGGGGATTTGTCAAGGGTCATTTGCACCGGGAAGAGGTGCTTGCTTGGGAGAGTTTTCTGCAGAAATGGTGATTCATAGAAGACATGTCATAGTGGTTTCTACAGTTTATAGAATGCAATTCATGTTTTTGTTCCTAGACTGAGATAAAACTGGAGATGATTGCATTTGGATGGTCTTGTGAGAGTAGTAGTGAGAAAGCTGGCAAATCCTTTTCAGACAATGTACGGGAAAGAAGCTTGCACTCCCTTTGTCTTCAGGAGATCACTTTAAACGTAATCCTGCTGACCAAGTTACAAAGGCTTATCCTTTAAACAGAAATTGTCTGCCATATGGGCATTATTATTAATGAACAGCAATGCACTTGAGAGGGATCTGTTACTCATTCTAATTTACTGAAGCAATCTTCAGGATTGCTCTTGCCTTCACTACTATAACTGATGGTATTAACTCATGTTCCCTGAAGCATTTTTACCCACTAAAACTTTGCAGACGTCATCTCATGATAACATAATATAGAAATTTTTGCTCAACACTAATGATAAATGTGGATTGCTTCCTTTTCCCCCCCCCCCCCCCCCCCCCCCTGCGTAGCAATGTATACAGCCACATGAAAGAATCATGAGAAAATGTTGTAAGGGGATTTTACAAGAGGTGTTTGTTCCTCAGAAGTCCGAAGGAGCCCTTACACATTATGCCTAAGGCAGCTATATGTACCCTACTAGAGCATCTGAGCAAGGAGGAAGTTTGGCACATTCCCTCTGTACATTAAGGATGTGATTTGGGATCATGGGGAGATGCGACATGCATCTTCTGAACTAACCTGGAGGAGCTATTTTTATAAAGATTTTTATTTCCAACCATTCAAATTTGAGTTTCTTTGTAACGTTTTTTGGTTTCACAACAGATGCTATTTAACACCAATGGTTTTACCATCAGTTGAAGTACTGTTTGGTCAATAAGAACATAGGAGACAGCCGCCCATTCTATAATTCCTTGCAAGTGCATAATGACTATTTCAGAACTGATACAGGCACACACCATCGACCAAAGGTTTCCAATTAACCTACAGGAAAAAGTTTTGTTATAACCCAGGCATCCAAGGGAGAAATGCAGGAGAAGGGCTGGATTCTCTCTCATGCAAGCAATAGTCTGTCAGCACATCTGAAGCCTGGTCTTAAGTTTTGTTCTTACTAATTTTGGAAATGAAAAGAATGTACAAAAATGTATGAGAAATTGAAATAAGGAACAGCATAACAACATAAGTGAAAAGAATCTATCTCTTTTTTTAGCTGCAAATAATATTCGAACAATTAACAATTTTTTTTCCTGTTCTTCTTTCATTGGTATTTTTTTTATACAAGGTTTTTATATTCAATACTTGTGGCATAATTGTAGAAATTATTAATTTGTTCAAAAGAATTCTTTATTGGTTAGGAAGCTTTCTGAAACATTCACATTAACTTTTAATAAATCTAAGACTATTGGGGAAGTTCCTAATAATGGAAAGAAGTTAATTAAGTCCAGTACTTAAAATGGTAAATGGGCTTTTCCTTTGTCGTTATAGCTCTTAGGTGCTATCAAGCTTGAGACAGATATACAATTCATTCATTAAAGTTTTTTTTTAAATGTAATACAAATCATCATGATTTAGAGGAAAAAAAGACCACATCAAAGATGTCTTGTAAATGCTTTTATGAGATTAATTATAATTATGCATTTAGCATATATTAAATATATTAGTAGCTTATTTTCCAAACATAATAATTGGGAATCATCAGCTTTAGTGTTATATACCTCAGGAGTCATTTCTTCATCTACACTGGTTTATAGTTTTATTAACAATTTGAATGAAAATGCACAGTTATCACAAATAATTCAATGCCGAAAAATAAAACAGGTAAATAGGTAATCATATATCAGAAGTAGGATTCCTTGGCCATAAAATGCTGTTCCTCATTTGCCAGGGTAGAAAATCAGCTGGGTAGACTCAGGAGCTTCATTTTCTGTTCTTTGCTGGAAACTTTTGTGTTCATGAGACAATCTGTAAACATTTTGGCTATGTAAAAAGTAGACAGTCATGTCTGCCAGAGGCTAGGGAAAACCAGCCTGTGAAGGTTCAGAGGGTAACTGCAGTATGCCTGACACCCTGTGATGAAATTTTGAATAGCTGGTTTAATTTTGAACCTAGATACAGTTTTTCCCAAACTCACGCTAGTCATGTCTCTTTTTTCAGCTTCTGTGCAGTCTGTTAGTTTTGCAAATGGTCAAACAGATGGTGCCAGAGATAGCTGTGACCGAACTACTTACTGCTTTATAGATCATGAATACCACCCAGAAATTACTTAGTATGCAGCAGAGGATACAAAGCACATGTAACAGCATTTTGTTCCTCTACCTTACTGGCAAATAAAGAGCAGTCTGCCAGTCTAGCTCAAATATCCAAGTGATGTTTGAAGCTGGCACCTTTCCAAATGAAGCAATTTTTCCATGGGTGCAATTAAAGGACTATTCTCGTTGTCAAACAGGTAGTTGAAGTAGATGGACAAAATCTTTTGGCTAGTGAGAGCTGAAAGAGGATCCTGGCAACTGTTGTGTGCATATCAAGGAGCAGGGAGGGCAGCAACAGACATCAGATTGTAGATTGCTGTGATACAGGAGGCTGCAAGAACAGATACATACCTGTCCTTCAAAGTGTTTTGCTTTGGCAGATCATTTCTGACAAATCTGACTGGAGCCTAAAAGGCACCTTGCTTTCAGTCATATTCCTAGTTCTGTCAGGCACTAGAGAAAACCTAAGAGACTTCTGTGCTGGAATAGGTTAAAAAGGAAAATTAAAGCTAAATTGTAAACAAATACCATTGAAATGTGCGTAAATCATGCTTCTTGTAGATAGGAACAAAATTCTGTGATACTGCATATTGAGAAAACTTGAAGAAAGTGGGTGGCCATCTGCTATGTCTTTTTGGGAGGAATTTAAGCCACTCATGTAGCCCAATAATATGATATGACGTTTGTTAGTATTGAAGGCTGATCTGGGTACCAAGCAAGAGTGAGAGCGTAGCTTGTCAAGTGTAACACCATTGGTCTTCCTAGAAAAGGCCTTACTGAATTTCTGCAGTAAAAGGCCCAGATATTCTTCTCTGAGTTTAATCAACAGAAATAGACAAACAAATGTCTACTCTACAGTCAAGAGCAAGGTACGTGAGAATCCAGGATTGCTTCCCTGGAGCCTCAGTTCATCTACTTAGTTCTGACTTGTTTGCTGTCCACAACTGCTTCAATGAAGGAGACATTAGCAATTCTCCAGAATCACCTACAGATACAATAGCTTGTTCTCCAGGGGCATCAGTCAAACCCTGGAAAAGTTTCCTTCTATTATTCTAAATATAATCCAGCAGACTCTTAACTACTTCTGGTTCTTGCTTCCATAAGGATTCATATAAATAATGAGACTAATTGCCTTCGAATACTTTTTTTATATTTAACATCTGTCCAGTATACACCCCACAGAACCAGTTTGTGGATTTTCTTTCTGTGATAATGTTGAACGAATATAATCCAATAAACAGAAAATATTTAGTGACAACTGTGAAAACTCAAATTTGAAATATCTCATGTCATATATCTGGAATTTGTGGTGTCAAATATCCAGAATCAGTGGATTCAGATTTCTCTGCTTCTGTAGTATATTTACAAAGTGAGAATAAAATCTCTTTATAAATATTAAGTTTTTTCAGAGATTAAGGAGTACCTGTGAATAGCCGGATATGAACTTAGGGGAAAAGTAAATAAAGAAGTACAGACTTCTGTTGGCTGAGCAGAATTTGAATAGTGATCAATAAATAATTGCTAGTGTCATGTAATGAACAATAAAGATTTAAAACAAACTGCGTGCTGTTTATCCTGGGCAGCTGTATTCTTCCGGAAAAGATCACTCTGTCATTAAAGACTATAATTTTGCATGCAAAAAAGGGAATTAATTAAGGAGTCAGGAAAGCTTACTTCTGATATATCCTAACTGGACTGCTTGACTACAGTCACAAAAATGTGTGTTTGGTAGACTTCTTGGTGTGCCATATCCACTCCATTTTATCTGCATATGAGTAGTGTAGTTAGATTGTAGCCATTCCTATCTTCATAGAATCATAGAACAGTTTGGGTTGGAAGGGACC